GTGCGCACCCCTAAGGGAACCTATCCACTGACGGACTTTATCGGAAGAGAGTGTGCTTATGATGAAGAGAAGTTTGTAGCTGCGCCAGTTAAAAAAGGTGAAGTGTCTGTTTTTTTTTTTTTTTACATTTAAAATGAATGAATTAGAAATGTGAGCTGACTGGCTGCTTGCTCTGCTCCTACTTCAGTACAAACACGCAACATGTAAAACATTCAAATATGTTTTTATATTTGGGAGAAAGTCACAGAGTTTAGGGTAAAAGTAGCCGTCCTCATGAAATAATTCATGGCTCGCTGCCTGGCATATCCAAGTTTGAAAGCCAGTTAAAAACGTTAATCCTTGGGGTATGTGTTGAAACTCTCAGCTACTATCACGCCAAATCTGAGCTCCAAATCTGTAAAAATGATTGAGTTATAAGTAGTTTCATGTTGGCTAAATTTGATTAATTATAGTGATTAAAATAGACTGACTCCAAAGGTTAATCAGCTGGAGACGTCAATCCAACAACTGACATTTTGGTCTAAATCTGTCCAGAGATTCATGAGATAATAACAGACAAATGCACGGTTGCCTGCCACTGTGTTTGCCATCAACTTGGTTATTAAAAAAATTGATAAATTAATTTAAAAATCACATAAACAGCTTTGGTACAGATGGTGTTGCTTTAATAAAGTCGTGGCCCATCCCTGCTCAGGTGGTGCGGTCCTGATCCACGGGGAGGTGGTGCATCGAAGCGCTGAGAACACCTCGGAGGACTCTCGTCACGTCTACGCCTTCCACCTCATGGAGGCCCTGAACACCCGCTGGAGCCCGGACAACTGGTGAGAGCACGTGGACTTTAATTTGTACGCCTCAGTGATCGCAAGTCTGCCTGATTGTCGTAGGATTTGAGGAGCGCGACGTAAACGATTTTGTGCAAAGTCCTTCAGTCAAGTATCTCAGCGTCTTTAACATTTGAAACAATTAGGCTCATTGGGTTTTTCAGTTTGTTTTTCACAACCGCATCTAAAGTGAAGTTTAACAGGAAACCCATTTAATTTGTGCTGCAAAGATCTTGTCTATTTCTGACCAGTTTGACCCCATTCCTCATATTTGTGTTTCCTCTTTGTCCTTTAAAGGTTGCAGCCCACGGAGGAGCTCCCATTCCCACCTCTTTACACTAAATGAAGAAAGGCAAAGTTTTATACAAAATATATTTTACAGCTTCTCTAAGAAACTTTTAAATATATATATAAATATAATTCAGTTTTCTGGCCTAAATGTAAACCATTAGAGTGGTTCCCCACCTGTTTGGGTCACAGCCGCTCAGGTTGGTGTTTGCCTCAGAGCTGTCAGGTAATGGAGAAAAAACTAGACTGGACAAAAAATAAAAAATGGAGCATCAGCTGAAGTTCAAATGTTTATCTGAACCTACTTTTTACTATATTTAGGTGATACTTAAATACAAAGAATGACGTTCGGTTATGAAATCTGAACATTTTTGCTGGACAACAAGAAATAAAAGGACCAAGTAGAATTTTGATCTCTTGTTGAGGCCTCACTGTCTTATAGATCAACAGTACAAATAAAATCTATTTTTTTGGTAAAGATTTCAAGCATGTCTAAACACAAATCTGCAGACAATCAACTGTTTTGTCTGTGCATGAGTCAAACTAACAGGAAGTGCTGTTGGAAGAGTCAATAGTTTAGTGTTTTCCAGCTGATGTTGCAGTTTCAGGTGACAGTGTGAAACATCTGAGTTCACATGAAGTTTTAAAAAAGGCTGTTTTTTTTCTTGATCTTGTTTGAAAATACCACAACCTTCCTGTAAGTATCCATCTGTTATCTGTAAGAATTTAATTTAATTTTTTTTAATTTTATTTTACCAATGCCAAATTAAGAATATAAAATGAAAAACATAACTTTTCAAAACAAGAAAAAATGATCAACCAAGTTAATTCTGCTCGTACTTAAACTCGTCCTTTGGCATTAAAATCATTGTTTCCTTTCATACAGGATGCTTCTGTAGAATTTAACCCCTTCATGGCTGCATGGTTATCTGAGAGTGATTTTACTTGGTGACCTTTCAACTCAACACCAGACCATTAATCAAACCTGCTTTTGTTCCAAATCTTAAGTTGAAACAGGTTCTTAAGGAGACATATTTTTTAGAGTTGATGCATTCAAAACAACTTTTAGCTTCTCCTGAGGAGGTGATCATTTCTTTGTATTCAGTGGACATTTTCACACTGACAGATCACATAAATGCAATTTTTCAGATTAAAAACAACTGAAATTAACAATCTGAATAGGTTTTCTTCTCTCCACAATCAGTGGACTTGTCAGAACTGTAGGTTTTTAATGTGACCAATGTTTTTATCCATCTTTTTTTAAACATCATAAAAAACTGTCACCAGCCAAACTTTACTTCTTTTTTTTCCTTTTATTTTGTGTCCTGACATCAAATTACATTTTTCTTTTTTCTTTTTTTTTTTTTTTTTTTACAGGAAATAGTCAGCATTTGTTTTCAAGTATGTTCAATTTTAAATACAACTCAACCAAGTAAACTTCATGTCTGGATGACTTTAAATCACCAAATTTAAACTCATTCATCAAGTATTAAAAAAATAAAACAGGAAACAAAAAGGCTTCGTGTTTTCAAAGTAAAGTCCATCAGTCACGCAGGTTCGTCTTCACAGCAGGCATCAATTTTATCTATGAAATGCTTAACATGCAATAATACATTATTTTAAAAAAAATGTAAGGATGGGAAAAAAAAAAGCTTTCATGCTATTAAAGTGTAATTACAACATTGAGAAGAAAGTTTTATATATTTAAACTAACACAAATATGGAAACTAAAAAGAAAATCTTGAGATCAAACCTGAAATAGTTGGAGTCAGACTTTTACAGGAACTAATCACGGGCATGTCATCCTTAGTGTGGGGCTTTTACTGATATATTTGAACCATTTTACCTCTGAGGGGGTAACAGATAAATAAACATTCTTACAGGCTCAAATATATCTGCTGAAGGGGTATTACAGTATGTGTTGTCCAGTTCTATACCACAGTAAACGTTACCTTCAGTTATGAAAATACTGTAAATATCAAAAATAATTTAGACTTTGTATCTAAACACCTTGAAATTGGCCTCTGTCTCTTTAAGAACCTCCTACCATTTCAGACACTCCCACTTAAGCATGTCTTCGAACAATTCTTCGGGGGAGGGCGGGAGCTCGGCTGCAGACTGAGCTCCAGGGAGGAGCTTTGTACCAATAGGCGGAGCTTTGTAGCAGCAAGCATTTAGACAGCTCCACATGGCCACAGGAGATTCAGGATTACTCAAACATGCATGGATGAGTCAAAACAACACTGAGTGTGTTTTTGATGAGGGGATAACTTTATAAGATGATACAAAGCTCAAAAAAGTCAATTTCGCCTAACCACAAGGTCATAAATGATTTAGTTTACAAGGTTGATCAACTTCTATTTGGTGATCATGATTGACTGCAGCTGGTAGTTTGTCTTTTTTAAGCACAAAAAAAGGATTTAATGTCAAGCATGGTGGTGGCAGAGTCATGCAGTGGGGATGTTTTGATGAAGCCAACTTACATCATTGTTCTGGAAAGGCCTTCCTAAAGTCTCAACCTCAGTTTTATTAGAAATTCTGCTTAAAAGTCAGAAGAGAACAGTTCAAATAAATCAATAAAAGCCCAAAATAAACAACACATTCATGCCCCTAAAAAGTGTATGTAAACTTCTAAAGGAGCTGTGACATTTGAAAGGCGTATTTTTTTAAAGCATTTTTAAAAATGACAGAAATAAGTTGTCAAAAGTAAAAAGGCTTTCATTCACAAGTTTGGCCCAAAGCCTTCTTACAAAGTCCAAAAATATACAACCTGGTTTGTGGGCTCCATGTTAGAAGGAAATGTACTTTTTTGTTTAAAAAGTTTCCATCAAACCACAAAGAAAATACTCAACAAAGTAAATTTGAACCCAAAATATACTCTAGGATACCTGCATATACATGTTACAGTACTGTATTCACATTAGTGTCATGCAGGAGCAGAGAGAGAATCAGCCCTTACAAAGAATAGTTGAGTGAGACTGCCATGCTTTTTTTTTTTTTTTTCTTGTGGCCCTACAGCTTGTATGATAATCAGAAGTGATGGAAAATACATTTTAAGGCAAATCTTTTCAGTTCTTTGTGTTGCTCTCATAGAGTTGATTAGGCGACAAAACGTTAAATATTGTTCTTCGTAGGCAATACACGGGCATAGATCGTTTGCCAAAAACAACAACAACAACACAGGACTAAAAACTTAGTGAACCTAACTAAAGAGTTGTGTTTCAAGGACATTTTTCCCCACTTTGCTAAACTGACTCTCCTGTTGCATAATTTAAGAGATGCAGGTGTCAGCGGTCGAGCACTTTGGGGTCAGGTTGGAAAGCTACACCGCCACCAACACTGAGCGCAGAGAATATTTAGCAACCGAGTTTCTCACATTTCTTAAAAACCCTGTGAAAAGACGCCTCACTGCAAGTCGTTTTTGCAAAGAAGACTTTTTTTTTTAAATGACCAGACTTTAATGAGAAATCACCACCTACTGCTGAATACAAGCAGATCAAATTATTGAGCTGAAGGCTTTAACTGTGTTTCTACAATGTTCCACGAGTCCTGAAGGGAACGTTCTATCCCCACTCTACCATTTGAGCTTTCTCACAACTGTGAGATTTGTTGGTTCAAAGTAGCAGCAGGATGAAGAGGTAGAGCGGGAGCAGGAGGTTGTCTATTTGGGAGGTGTAGGCCTCCAGCAGGGCCACCAGAGTGATGGAGCCAACGATCCACGAGTAGGTGGAGTTCAGGTTGATGCTTCCGTCGAAGATGAGGAACATGGCCACGGCGATGATCTGGGCGAACACGGACGTCGCCGTCCCTTCCAAGGTTTTCTTCGTGCCGGGCCAACGGATCTCCCCCATGGTGCTGCCGAACACCGACGCCACGGTGTCTCCGACTCCCACGGCCAGCACGCCCGCGTAGGGCACCAGCCCACCTGCCCCGGGAAGAACCCCCTTAGGGGCGCAGGGTCCGGGGAACAGCCAAATGGGCAGAGACATGCCCAGCAGCAGGTAGACGTGGGTGAGGATGAGGGGCCCGGAGTCCCGTTCGTCCAGGAACAAGGTGAGCAGCTGCCGGAGCAGCTGACCGAGGGGCCTGATGCGGAAGTAACGCACGTACTCCAAGAGCAAGAAGACGGCCAAGCAGCCCACAGACGCCACGTGTAGCAGCTGCCGGTCGTAGACCAGGCCCGGAACATATGTGGCCACTACAATCAGGTGGAAGTACTTCCTGACCACCGTCGAGGCCTGGTGCTTCTTGGACCCTGACTGGCGCTGGTGGTTCTGGTGCAACACGACACAAGTGGCCGCGACGGCCAGGAACACCCAGTAACCCAGCAAACAGAGTCTCCTGTCGTTCAGCGTGACGAAGTCCAGCAGCCACATGATGGGGTGCCGGCCGATGAACAGGGACAGCCACGGCATCAAGATGCCCAGAACCAGAACGGCCGTCATCATGTGGAAGAAGAGGGAGGAAACCCACGTTTCAGACTCCATGAAGCAGAAGAGCAGAGCGAAGAACACCCCCAGCAGCAGCGAGCCCACCACTACAACCGGCAGGAAGTAGTTCACCGGATCTCCTTTGACCTCCGACAGGTTCAGGGAGCGCTTGATGAGCTGGTTCATGATGAAGCTGATCCCGCCGACGATGAGGAGCGCCTCCCCGGGGGTGAAGCAGCGCGGCAGCAAGTAGAGCACGATCAGGCTGAGGTAAACGAAGATCAGCAGGACCTCCAAGACCTCGATGACCTCGGACACCGTCAGGGTCTGCTTTGTGGTGTAGAGGATGGCGCTGCCAGCCAACCCCGCCACGATACAGGTGTTGGTGGGCACGGGTCTGGTGATGCCCAGCGCGATCAGGGAGAGGAACAGCGCCAGCATCATGCCCGCGACGGTGACCACCATGGAGAAGCGCTCGAAGTAGACGTTCCCCGAAGCGGAGCACTTCTCTCTCAGCACCAGACCCAGCAGAGGCATGACCATGGAGGCCGGGACGATGCCGCTGTTCGCCGCAGGGCGGAACTGGAACACGGCGGCCCCGGACTTGAGCAGACGGTCCCATTTGTGCTGAACGTAGAAAGCCTGAATGACGAGGGCCACGCTGCACCAGGAGTGCTGGTTCCAGACCACCATGTGGACACACAGCACCACCGCCAGGACCACAGCGGACTCCATGAGCACTGGGTTCATCTGCATGGTTGTAATGTGGGAGCTCACAGGGAGGGGAGAGGAAAGGGGGGGGGGCGCGTCTGGGGGGGGGGGGGGGGATTGAGCTGAACAGATGGTCTACAACTGTAAAGGTGTGGTCTTGTCACTTCCTTTCTATGCCAGTCTTCATCTTTTGGCAGATAATCCACTTGCCATGGATGTCTAGAGGAGAAAACATGGGGGGTAAAATCAGAAATGCAGTTTTTAAGTCAGTGCGTCACTTTAACTTGCCTTAAACCTTTCCTCTTGGTTATCTGCTTTCTGCCATGAACTTTGATCACACTAAACATTCATACAATCAGTGTGAGAGCCAGAAGAGAGGGGTGCTCTTTCCACATCAGCTGCAACCTTTGTTCCAGTGGGGACTGGCAGAGTGACAAACACATGGCCCGGCTGAAACAGAGCTAAAAGAGTCCAGTAAATTTATATAACCCTGCTAACACCGCAGAATGGCAGCAAGATAAGTGAGGACCGCCTCTCTGTCTGTGTGAGCTGAGGATGCTGCAGCCACAGATGGCATCGAGCTAACAGCTAACATAACAGCTGACTGCAGCGAGTTCTCTGAAACAGCCGGCGGCGTGGACACGAAAACACGCACTGACAAAAGACAAGAAGACGTACCACACCAGTGCGGTGTTATCTGGCCGAAGATAAATTCATATGAACCAGTACCGTCACGTATTTGTCGCTTTATGTCCTCCGTCAGTTGTCACTGTTCTCACTCCCGGTAGGAAAGGGGCCATTTTTGACAGCTAGGTCACGTGGTACTTGCCAAAAAACTGGGTCCGCTCTTTAACGATAAAAGGGTGCAGAATCCGGCTAGAAGTGAAGTGGAGCGGCGTGGGAGGAGTTTATCTGTAAACTGCAGGGGCTAGCGTTTAAGAGGGGGAGTTGTCGCCGTAAAACATACACGAGCGGTACGAGCGATTTGAGTTTACTTAGTCATTAACAGTTGACAGCATAGTATTGCAAATGAGGGAAAAAGAAAGCGGAAGCTCCACCTGCTCGGTGAGCCTTCAGGACCGCTGGCGTATAAATGGTGTGGACCCGCTATTTCCAAGGGCATGCAAGTTAAAAATGCTCATTTATAGTTGTCATTTGATACTTCAAGGGTTTATCTGGTGTGGGGAGACTTAAATGACTGTATGTTGATGTGTATGAGAGGGGCAGGAAATCACAAGATTTTTTTTCTACTTGATAATTTTCAAACAAAGTGTGTAAACGTGCCAATTGGCTTATTTTTTATGTTTTTACTTTTCGTTGTCTGTTCTTTCTTTCTTTCTTTCTTTCTTTCTTTCTTTCTTTCTTTCTTTCTTTCTTTCTTTCTTTCTTTCTTTCTTTCTTTCTTTCNCTTTCTTTCTTTCTTTCTTTCTTTCTTTCTTTCTTTCTTTCTTTCTTTCTTTCTTTCTTTCTTTCTTTCTTTAACCCATCCTAGGCATTCCTAGGCCAGAGAGGATACATAATCCCTCCAGCGAGTCCTGGGTCTTCCCCGGGGCCTCCTACCAGTGGGACATGCTCGGAACACCTCTAAAGGGAGACATCCAGGCGGCATCCTGATCAGATGCCCGAACCACCTCAACTGACTCCTTTCGATGTAGAGGAGCAGCGGCTCTACTCTAAGCTCCCCCCGGATGATGGAGCTCCTCGCCCAACGATATCCTCCGTCCAGGTCAGCAGTTCCCCACCCAAACCAAGTTCAGCCTGGGACAGGGAATGCTTTCCTTTACTGAGTCACTGAACGGTTTGCCAGAACCTCCTCGAGGCCAATCAGAAGTCCTTCTCCACGGCCTCCCAGAATTCAAATTAGTGAATTGTACTTATTGAGAAATATTAAAAAACATCAACACACAAATATGGACTGTACTTATATAGCGCCTTTCTATCCATCCAGGACACTCAAAGCACTTTACACTACAGACATTCACTCATTCACACACTGATGATGGCAATTAAACATTGTAGCCACAGCTGCCCTGGGGCACACTGACAGAGGCAAGGCTGCCATACACAGGCGCCACCGGACCCTCTGACCATCGGTAGGCAAGGTGGGTAAGGTGTCTTGCCCAAGGACACAACGACTGAGTGGACTGGACGGGGATCGAGCCGGTGACCTTCCAGTTCCAGGACGACTCCCCTTACCACTCTACCACAGCCGCCCCAAATATTGATTGAAATGATCAATAATGGAGTCAATAATCAGACAAAACTATGTTTTGGGTGATATTTTTTCGTTTCTGATATTATTGTATGGTTAAACATTCCCCGGGACAAAATGACTCAGGAACAAGCTATTTCTCAGAAACGAACATAACAGGAGGGTTAAAAATATAATAATAAAGAAATACACATTTCCTATTTTTTTCACATTTTTGTAGATCAAAATAGCTTTTCTGATAGAAGTTTTTTATTCACTATGCTACTATCATGAGAAAACGGAGAAAACGCTGCACAAAGTGATACAGCAGGTGAAGTAATAATTAAACTCCAGTAGAAGGCAGTAAAGTAAAAATAAAAATCAAAACAAACTCACGAAGAAGAAGCCAATCTGACGCAGCCAATCACGAGCCAGCGAACCGACCAATCAGAAAGCAGGACCGAAGATGGCGGAGTCGGAGTTGAGCGTCAGGTTAGAAACACTGCTATAAAGTTAATTTCTCTCTTATACTGTATAAATAGTTTTAATATCTATTATCAATGAGTAAATGTGTCTGTACAACATGTTTGTTTATTAAGTCAAAGTAGTAGCAGCCGAACTATTTGACCGTTTTTATCTGAGCTTGATTAGCACCACGCTCACATAGCTTAGCGAGTGCTAGCGGCTAAATTTTGAAGGGGTTTTCTGTAGCGCGGCGCCGCCGCCGCATGTCAACAACCGCAAGAAAAAGTTTACATGGTCAGTCAGTAAGATAACATGGAGACAGAACTCTCCGCGTCTATGTTGAAATGAGAACATTTGCCAAAATATTAAGCCCGATAATTAGCAATTAAGTGATAACAAAGAAGCCGACGTCGCTGGTTGGCATATGCCGGGCAAACGTTATTTAAAATGTTGCACAAAACGGAAACTAACTCAATCTTTAGCCTAGTGGACTGCTACAAGTATTTAGTATGAGCGACGGTTTTTATTTTAAAATTAATTTGGTCTAAGATATTACATGATTAGGGCAGTAATTAACCATCATTCAGGAACTCTAGAATGTATCAGTTATATAATAAAAGAGCAGGCTCAGACTGGATGTGTTTAATTTTGAGGTTCAGAGCGACTGAACGTCTTGTAGGCCAAAGCCTAACGGGCTCTAGACTTGTCTGACAGAAGTCTGTTAAGGGTATAAAGGTGCGTTTTGAAATTAAAAGTGTATTGTAAGTTATTAAACTTTGCTAGTACGAGAGATAAATGCCCTTTGAAAGTTTAAGAATCTGTCAAGTGAATTATGTTATTGTGTGTAAATTTAACCATGCAGACTTAAGCACTGTTTTGTAGTTACAGGTGACCCATTTCCAAGTGGACAGCTTAAAGTATGAGTGTTTACTCCTCAATTACCATCTGTCCCTACATGTAACCTGAGTTATTTGCTTAAAATGCAAATAAACACAAACATTTATAGCTTTATTCGTTCATTTTTTAATTTTTTAAAATCAAAATTACGTAAGGGACCTGAACTCTCATTGTTTTGACTTTTAACTTTTCTGAAACACATTTATCTCATATCAATTTACAAACATTTCACTAAGCTTATTCATAAATAGATGCTGCATCAAAAAAGAGAGTTTGCTGAGCTCAATGTTTGAACTTCTTAAACCCACTGGTCACAGGTGAAATATTACCTGATTTCTAAACAATTTACTGTGTTTAACTGTGACGTATTGTGAAAAAAATATAACTCGCGTGACTTGTTAGTAAATATTAAAAAAATGTGGAGACTGCTGTGAATGCAGTTGTTACCAGCAACAGCCAGAAACAACTCTCCTATGAACCTTTATGGTAATTTGTTGATCAATGTATTTCTTAGACAAAACTGATTTCTTCATTTGAAATTTGTGATCAGCTGATTTTTTTATGCCTAAGTAGATTCTTTAATATATTCTCCACATCTTGCTGTTAATTTAAAAAGGGTTAAAAACAAAAACAACTGGTCTTCTATCAAAGGTTGAAAATGTTTTGCTTCCCATTTAGAGGCTTTATTAGTTAAGATGTCTGGAGTGTGTGTGTGGATTTGCAAGCTTTATAGACCTGCATTAGATCATTTCTAATTAGCTTGTGGCGTTGCATAATTTTACTACTGTTTTTTTAATCAAAAGTTTTCTGGAAACCGAGCCTTTGAAGCAAAAACATTTTGGTCATAACTCTGCTGCTTGGATGAAGTGAAGTCATGTTAGGTCCTTAATGAATTCCACAGAGACGTGAGAGAAGAAAAATGCTTAATTTTTGTCACGCAACCTCCCACACCACATTTCTCATGGCTTCACTGTTTCACAGCACATCATAGGGTCTCAGCCCCAGCTTTCTGTGTTCCAGACCACCTCTGGTTGTAGCCTGGGCAGTCTGAGCTGAAGTTAGTCTCAGTTTTTATCCCTGGATGCACATTTTATTATATTAAAACAAGACAGAAATCTAGAAATAATCAATTCTTTTTAGAGTATTAGGACTGGTTTATGCTATGGTTTTCAACAGAGTGATGGGTACTTTCACATGTTCAGTACTCATAAGTTCTAAATGATCGCTTTGCTGAAAGAAACCACTTTCTTTTAGGAGCTGTCGAGAGTTATGGACCATTCTGCTGGGGAGATCAGCATTGAGAGAGCCGGTATATTTTCTTGCCATTATCAGTCACTCAATTATTTCCTTTTACTTCTGAAGAAAGTCCTAAATACTTGACCGGATGAGGAAGAAAAGTTGTTTTTTGTGTTTAATGATTGCAGGCTCAGATAGAAGGAGAGCTTGACAGACACTGGGACCGACTGCATCAAGGACTCAGTTACTACAAGCCACCCAGGTGCAGTTTTACTTACATTTTTTTAAATATAAATCAGATACATAATTGTTTCTGATTCCTGAATGGTTAATTGTCTTCATCACCATGTAGCTCATCCTCTGCTGGGAAAGTAAAAGATAACAAAGATGTTGCGCAGCCACTGAAAGACTTTGGTTTGAGGATTAGTAAATTATTGGTAAGAATGATTTTTTTTAAAGGAATGAACATCTCCATCCTTTTTTTTTTTGATGATTTGACAACTGAATATTTTTGATGTTGCAGAATCTTGATGAGCAGCAGAGTGTGCAGCTTTTACAATGCTATCTACAGGAGGACTACAGAGGAACTCGTGATTCATTAAAGGTTTTTGTCATCACATTGTTTTCCACAGGAAGTGAATCAAAGGAATCCTGATGGTGATGATGTTTAACTAGAGTCTTTTCAACAGGTTGTTCTAAAGGATGAGCGGCAGAGCCAGGCACTTCTGCTTAAGGTGAGTAAAGCTGCAGTTATTAACCTGTTTGAGTTTAGTCATTATGGCAAGATTTAATATTATGATTGTCTTTATTTGCTTCCACAGATAGCTGATTATTATTACGAGGAGCGCATGTGTCTGCTCAGATGTGTTCTCCTCCTGCTGACATACTTTCAAGATGAACGGCATCCTTATCGGGTGAGAAACAAAGACACCTTTTTTCCCCCAACTTTTGTGCTTTTTTTAAATTTATTTTTTAAATAAAAAGGTTGTGGGCCTTTTTCATGTACGCACATTTGTCTTCCATCAAGGCGGAGTACAGTAACTGTGTGAACAAGTTGGAGAAGGACTTGGTGAGCAACTATCAGTCACAGTTTGAAACTCTCTTCAAAGCCGAGGCACCAACATGGGAAACTCACGGCAACCTCATGGTAAACGTTTGGTTAACGTTTGGTTAATGTATTGTGTGTTGGAATTTAGCCTGCTTACTCACATTTTTCTTCTTTTTCTTTTTTTTTTTTAAGACGGAGAGGCAGGTTTCCCGGTGGTTCTTGCAGTGTTTGAGAGAGCAGTCTCTGCTGCTGGAAATCATTTTTCTGTATTATGCTTACTTTGAGATGAGTCCATCCGACCTTCTAAACTTTACCAGAATGTTCAAAGAGCAGGGCTTTGGTTTGCGACAGACAAACAGACACTTGGTAGACAAAAGCATGGATGCCCTGGTTGATCGAATCGGGTACGTGTACTTTTATTTATGCTGTATAGAGTGAAATTTAGTTAAAAGCTTCTCTTTTATGACATTGATTTGATGAATAGAAACTTGAAGTTCTTCAGATGATTTTATTTTCCTGATGTAATCTGACACAGACTGTACAAAGTTTGCAGATAATCACACAATTGCTGTGTTTTGTGTCTTTTTCTGCAAGTATTGTACTTAATATCAGATCGCATTATAATTTTTTATTGTAACTCAATGGATCCCATTGATTTGGGTAGCATAACATGCTAATTTGAAGTCTTAGGGACACAATTAATTTAAATTTGTTAAAGCATCCCACAGTTACAGTTGCTTCAGAGTTGGTGTGTAAAAAAGAGGATTAGGTTGTTACATTTTTTCCTGATTGTGTATTTTATCTTACAACCCCCTCACTCATATTTTTGCCTTGTTGTAGAGTAATAATTGAAATGTTAAATTATTTGGATCATACTGACTTTAAATGCTAGCTAACAGTTCAGATATGAGGCCCATCATTAAAACACATATGACAGAATTAAAAGGGGATAAGAAGTTTGTAGATATAAACTTTTATTTTTGAATGTATTTATATTTTTTATTGAACCAAGTAAATAGACATTTTAATTTTTAACTCAGACATGCTTTAGATTTTGGGCAAATATAAATTAAACTTTTGCGATTTTATCTTTTTTTTTTAAATTGTTAGATACTTGAGTTGTCTCATCCTGGTCGAGGGAATGGACATAGACTTCCTGCATAAGTGCGCTCTGGAGGATTGTACAGAACAGCACCAGTTTTCCTCTGCTCCTAACGTCATTAAGGTTGGATTCGGCTCTCTAACATCAGACTTTAGCAGAAATACTTCCTTCTCAGACTTTATTAATATTTCTGATGTGTGTGTGTGTATTTTTCAGGAGATGGATCAGCTGCTGCTGACTTTAGGTGACATTCCTCATCATGGACCTGTGTTGTTGGCCTGGGTGCTGCTGAGACACACACTCAGACCAGAAGAGTCCAATCCTGTGGTCAGGAGGATCGGCAACACGGCGCTGCAGCTCGGGGTGTTCAAGTACCTGTCAACCATGCTGAAGGGCCTCGGATTCTCAGGGAATAATGTAAGATACTAAAGATGGACTTGAGATAAAAAAGAGTACTGTTTGTTAATAAAAATAATCACCTTTTCAACATATTACCTTTTTCAGTTGCAATAAATAAAATTACTTACTCAGTTGTTATAATAATATACACTGTCCAGTTATTTACAGTTATTGAAATTGAATCACGTGTCACAACCTTTAATCAAAACTATTTAAAGGGAGGATATTTGAGCTTTATATCATGTTATAATGTTATCTCCTCAGTGTTGCTTTGACTCATTCATGCATGTTTGAGAAATCCTCAAATCTCCTCTGGTAGCCATGTGGAGCTGCCTAAACACTTGCTGGTACAAAGCTCCACCTATTTACAGAAAGCTCCTCCCTGGAGCTCAGTCAGCAGCCGAGCTCCCGCCCCACAAAGCTTGTTTGTGGTTTAGAATTGAACTGTGCCTGGAAAATACACAATACCCTCCCTTTAAAATATTTTCAGCATATGTTACATTTATACTCTACATATTTCTAAATTTGTCTAATATGTTTGGAATCACAAGCATCTGTTTTTCTTTTCCTACAAACAATTTTCTGTTATCTTTTTGTCCATCTCACCAGTGCACAGCAAGCACAGCAAAAATGTGTATTTATGGCCTCCTTTCATTTGTGATCACCTCCTTTGAAGAAGAAAGCCTACAGGTAAAGCTTGATTTTACAGTTTTAACCCACCTGCGTTTATATTTACAACCTGTGATGGTCATGTTTTTTTCTTTTTGTAATGCATCTTACAGAGTGACGGTGTGGAAACACAGACCTCTCACCTGATTGATGCTGCCTGTGAAGTTCTCTCTGCTCCCAGTTTGGCTGAGATCTTTTGGGAAATGGTAAGGAGGGAACATAGAAGAAGATTCTCAGAGATATAATTATTATTATGTTGTTATTTATAAATATTTGTCCAATTGTTCACGTAGAAGCCAAACATGGGACTGGGAATGATCCTGGACAGTGCAGTTGGAATGTTCCCTCATAAGATAGGACCTCTGCTGCAGCTTCTAACTGCACTTGTGTCAAACAAATCGACTGTAAAAAAGGTACATTTTAGAGTTCTGAATTTTTTAAAAACTCTGAGCCCTTCATTTTGTGCATACCTGAACAATCTTATGTCATGTCTGTTTGCAGGTGTACAACTTCTTGGATAAGATGTCCTTTTACACACAAGTTTACAAACACAAACCCAATGATATCGTTTCAAAGGATGATGAGACGCTGTGGAGGAGACAAACTCCAAAACTCCTCTACCCTCTGGGTTCGTTTTTTTAAGAGTTGTGACAATTAAATACAGACACAGTGTTGATTTCATAAATGCCTGGTCTTGTTTTACATCTTTCTGTTCATCCATTCCAACCATTAGGCACAGGGCAGACTAACCTGTGGATGCCACAGGGCGTGCTGGGCCAGGTGGTGATTGCGGGTGAACAGGGCTACATGGTGCGCTGGGACTACTCCTACAGCTCCTGGACTCTGTTCACCTGCGAGGTGGAGATGCTGCTTCATGTTGTTTCCACTGCAGGTACGTCCAACAGACGAATACTCAAGTTTAACAAACATTACTCCCCCACATTGTGAGTTTTCCATTGTGTGTGCCACAAAGTCTTTATTCCAGCAACAATTGTCAGTGTGATGTTACGTCAGACTCTTTATGTTGATGAAGAAAGTTCAGTGTATTGATCTGGTTTAAAAAGAGCAGATATCTAACACAAGGCAGACGTTTAAACATCGATCATGCAATCATCATAGTTGTTTCTGTGGGTGTAAGTTGATAAGAATGTCCTGATGCATGTCAACAATCCTGGTAGAAACATTTCTTTTAAAAAGTTGAGTAGGTCCCCTGAACGGGTTCTTCGTTGAAACGTTTTGTCTCTTCTCCAAGAGACACTTTAAATGTACATTGTGTTTTTATTATGTTTTATTTTTCAGGGTCTTCTAATTTATTTTATTAAATTGTAGAATGTTCTTCAGTTTAAAATGTATATGATCCATTGGTTGAAAATAAATGGGTGAATTTTTCTCATACCTACTCCTTTTCACTGTTTGTTCTGATCAAAATAGGTACAAGTGTGTGACTAGTACCTACAAAATAGGTAAAAGAGTGTGATTTGTGCTGATATGGTATCGGGTCAATATCGGTATCGTATCAGAAGTAAAAAAGTTGTATCGATTCGGGACACCCCTAAAGTCAAGCCTAATGTTTGAATTTCATGATGGGGTTTGGGCTCTGATATCTGCTCAGTGGAAACAACTAACGGTTTAGTCTGATGTAGGCATCAAGCATGTTTTAGCAGTTAGTTTGATCTGTTCCTTGAATAATAAACATGATTGTTTTTCTCTTTTTGTGTGTGTGTGTGTTCTAGATGTTCTAGCTCACTGCGCACGCGTGAAACCCATCCTGGATCTGGTCCATAAGGTCATCAGTGTGGACTGGACCGTGTCGGATTGTTTGTTGCCTCTCACGTCTCGCATTTACATGTTGCTGCAGAGGTAAACTAGCTTTAGAGACTCAAACGGCCTTGTTGTGTTGCGTGTATATTTTAACATGGACCTTTCTTGTCTGTCAGGTTAACTTCAGTCATCAACCCACCAGTGGATGTGATTGCCTCCTGTGTGAACTGTCTGTCTGTACTGGCTGCGAGGATGCCAGTGAAGGTGGGTGTGATGGGTAATGTGAAGAGGAGTAATGAGAGATTCAGATCTTATCCACATAACTTTTCTTTTTATCCTCTTTTTACTCTCAGGTGTGGTCCAGTCTGCAACACACGGGTTTCCTCCCTTTTGCCTCTAGCCCTTTGACCAGCATGTCTCAGTGCATCAGGTAAACTATCTGGATGCTGCTTGATTTTGAGTTTTCCTGGTAAATATCAAACTGTGTTTTCAGAGGAAATAACATTTTTTGTTCTTTTAGTGCTGAAGGGATGAAGGCGGGAAACTATGGGAACCTACTGGTCCAGATTGAGCAGCCTAGAGGGGAGTATGCTGTGACGATCGCCTTCCTTCGTCTAATTACAACCCTGGTTAAGGTAACAACAGTTTCAAACGGCACAAGCTTTTAATATGGCGTCCTGTTGTTGTGTAATGTTGTATAATGTGTAGCGTGTATGTTTATCTTCATTTCAGGGTCAGCTTGGCAGCACCCAGAACAAAGGTCTGATCCCCTGCGTGCTGCTGGTGTTAAAGGAGATGCTGCCCACTTACCACAAGTGGCGCTACAACACCTACGGAGTCAGAGAGAGAATAGGTAAAGTTTGTTTTTCTTTGATTCTTCTTTTTTTTTTTACTTCAAAAGAGGAAGATCAAAAAACATACGGCTGGTTTTGTTTTCGCTGCAGGTTGTCTGATTTTGGAGCTGATTCATGCCATCCTCAATCTGAATCCTGAGGGAGAGGAGCAGAGCAGGTGCTGTGTTATACTGTAACAAGTTTGGGCCACTTTATTTTCTGGAAACTTCAAAAAGCTGATTTATTCAAAATCTGCAACTTCTGAAAGAACAGTTATTCAATTACTCACCATGTAGCACAAGTTTGATCAGTTGTGGAAAAAAAATGGTGTTAATATATATATTTTTTAATAAAAACCTTCACAAGATTACCTCTCAGAGATACAACAAGAGAAGATAAACAATCCTGTCAACATTTCTTACTATTGTATCATATTTTGACAAAACTGTGATGAAAACCCTTCATAAAACATGATTCAGAGCAGCAGATATTCACATGTGGATTTCCTGTTCTGCTTCCTGTTGCAGCACTCCCACCCTGCAGTCTATTTGCATCTACAGCCTGGCAAACGCCGAAGCTGGACAAGCTGTCGTTAACATCATGGCAGTGGGAGTGGACACCATAGACCTGGTCCTGGCTGCACAGCCCAGCAGGTGAACAATCTCATGTGTTCATGTTAATGTGCGAATGCCTTCATGCATTCCCACTATTCAGATACATTTTTCTTCTGTATGTTTTTCGGCACATCTTGTTCCACAGTTTTTGTTCTCTTTCAACAATTCAAATATCTCCTTCAGCACATTCTGGCTATGACTTTTGCTTTTTAAGCAGTTTATATTTTTTGGTCATATTTGTTGTCTTGGAAAATTAATGGAGCTGTCCTAAAAATTCTTCAAAATAGTTCCTGCACCTTTTGTTCAGGTTCTGCTTTTTAAACTTTGTGCTCATTTTAGCTTCCTTCAGCTTCTTTTTTGGCTAACATTAGCTTTTTCCTGCCTTTTCAGCCATTTTTGTGCTTCTTTCAGCTGTTTTTTGCAATGTAAACTACTTTTTAGCTATTTTTTCAGCTAAACTCAGCTTTTTGTGAGGGTTTTAGCTACTCCTTTCAGCTGCTTAATTCTGCAAACTTGGACTTTTTGCTTTGTGCTAGATTCAGCTTTTTTAGCTACTGTTTTACAGCAAATTGCAAAAAATATTTTTCTGCAAAAATCTTTGAGCATTCACGCTGCATTTTTACAGAAAATGCTAATTCTCTAGTTTATCAGGATGATGTAAACTGTTGTCATATTTGTCCGTTTGGTTTTCATGATGCTGTCCAGCTGTGGCTCTGAGGGTCCTGGTCAAGTCCTGATCCAGACAGTCAAGCTGGCCTTTTCTGTCACGAACAACGTTATTCGTCTGAAGCCCCCGTCGGATGCGGTTTCCCCCCTGGAGCAGGCGCTGACGCAGCACGGCGGTCACGGCAATAACCTCGTCGTTGTCCTGGCCAAATATATTTACCACAAGCACGACCCGGCGCTCCCTCGTCTGGCCATCCAGCTCCTCAAGCGACTCGCCACTGTAAGCCCCTCCCTGCGGTGCGTTGCTCTAGTCTCTGATGGGTTGAATGTGTTACTGAATGCTACTCTGCAGGTGGCTCCTATGTCGGTTTACGCCTGCCTTGGCAGCGATGCAACAGCCATCAGGGATGCATTCCTCACTCGGCTGCAGAGTAAGACAGAAGATATGAGGATCAAAGTGATGATCTTGGAGTTCCTCACTGTGGCGGTGGAAACCCAGCCAGGCCTCATCGAGCTCTTCCTCAACCTGGAAGCAAAAGATGGAAGCGAAGGATCGAAAGTATGAAGCTGAAGGAAGCGTGTTTTGAAAACATCCATATTTTCGTGTTTTAGCTTCGCTGTGTGGATAACGTGTGTTTAACTGACAGGAGTTCCTGCTGGGCGAGTGGAGCTGCCTTCATGTGGTGTTGGAGCTGATCGACTCCAAACAGCAGGGGAAGTACTGGTGCCCCCCGCTTCTTCACCGTGCAGCCCTGGCCTTCCTCCTGGCTCTTTGGCAGGATCGCAGAGACAGCGCCATCTCAGTTCTGCGCTCCAAGTGAGGATCTCTTTCTGACCTGAAAACACATGCAGAGAAACTTCATGACATCCTCTGTTCCGTTTGTTTACTTTTTCTGCAGAGAAAAGTTTTGGGAGAATTTGTCAACACCTCTGTTTGGAACCCTTATCCCTCCTTCAGACACCACAGAGGTATTTACTCACTGGTTTTAACTTCCAGCTGCAGTTTCCTCTTTACTTACTCAGAGTTGTTGTTTGTCCTCAGCCCTGTGTCCTGGAGGCCTGCGCTTTTGTCATGAAGATTATTGGCCTGGAGATTTACTACGTTCACAGGTACATTTGCGCCAAAATGAACCCGTTTGTGTCATTTTGACTTGAAATACATATTCTGACATTCCCTCTGTGTGGCTCGTCGCAGCGGTTCCCTGGAGCAGTCTCTGAAGGACGGACTTCAAAAGTTTTCAAACGCGCGACGCTACGAGTACTGGTCCCAATATGTCAGGTCCCTGGTGTGCCACGTGGCCGAGTCAGAGGAGGAGGGCATCTGCTACTTCTCAGAGACACAGATGTTGATCTCTGCTTGGCGGATGCTGCTGATCCTGTCCACCAGCCACGTACGTCACAGTCCATCCAGCAGTTGGATCTGCTCTGATTATAAAACAAACCAACCTCTCATCACTTCTGAAACTTTTTAAAATTATTTCTAGAAAAATGTAAAGTGGTTTATGGAGGTTTTTGAGCTGCTTGTACTTTTTCTAGTCTTAGTAAGACTTTCATTTTTTAATTTAATATATTTTGTTAGAGGTTTGTTGTACAAATGTAGTAATAAAAGCAGATATGAAGCTGGCATTAATCTGATGCTTGATGTCTTGATCTCAGGCTGATGTGATGCATCTAACTGAGGACGCCAGGATGAAACTGTTTATGGATGTCCTGGATGGGGCTAAAGCTGTTGTAAGTCATGAAACGAAACATAATTTCTAACCTTTTTAAGTTTTTACTTGATAGTTTTATCGTGTAATTCTGTCCTTTTCAGCTGACCACACCCACGTCTGTGCCTTGTCTTCGACTTGGATCTATGATGGCGACTCTGCTGCTCATCCTGCTCAAACAGTGGAAAAGGTCTGCATCCTGCTTTTGACAGGGACGTTTCACATGACCAATCTAGTGCTAATCCTCTTCTGAACCTTCCTGTTTGTAGTGTTGTAGCTGCAGCTCCAGACATCATGTCTCCTCTCTCCCTCATCCTGGAAAGTGTTTTACAAACTGACCAACAGATGATGGAGAAGACCAAAGCCAAAATCTTCGCTGCACTCATTTCTGTGCTGCAAATTCAGGGACTCAACGGTATAAATCACGACTTCATGTTTGTCTTTGAAAGAAGTGTTTCAGTGAGTCATTTGGTGCTTTGGTTCGTAAACTAGGTGGAGATATTTCCCAGCTGCCCCAGCTGCTGCTGTCTGTGTGTGAGACGGTTAAAGACGAGGCGCTGGCTCTCATCGACAGCACCTGCCACACGAGACAGATGGAGGACATGGTGGAGAACGAGGACAGCATGGAGACAGATTCTCCTCGGGGTCCACAGAAGGACCAGAGAGACGGGGTAAGTGAGGCAGGGATGATCCGAAGGTTGAGTTTAAAAAGTTTTCTTCAAGTTCATCTGGAAATATCAGATTGTTTCACATTTCTATCAGTTTTGAACTTTTCTACCCAAAAAAGGTAAAAAAAACTATGAATACTTGTGACATAACTGGAGGAGTGTGTATCCAGCTTCATATCCTAGATCTAACTTCATGTTTCTTTGCTCTCAGATGTGTGTTTTAGCGCTCCACTTAGCCAAGGAGCTGTGTCGCACCGATGAGGATGGTGAGCACTGGGTGTCTGTGATGAGGAAGGTCCCGGTCCTTCCCTCGGTGCTGAGCGCCGTGGAGCTCAGCCTGCGCGCCAAACAGAACCTTTATTTTACAGAGGCCGCTCTTCATCTGCTGCTCACTCTGGCTCGAACTCCTCAGGTCAACACAAACACTCTGATCCCTGTTTCAGTTTGACTTTCTCATGTTTTCATTACAAATCAAATATCAAACGTGTTCGTTCTTCTTTCAGGGAGCAGCAGCTGTGGCCGGAGCTGGAGTCATCCAAACCATCTGCCTCCCTCTGTTGAGCGTATACGAGGTCCCAGCAAACGGTGGATCACAGGTAAAGTACATGATATGTTTTCACTTTATATTTTCTGTGTTTGACAGAACAGCTGTCATTTATTATGCTGTACAAACACATTAATATGATTTAGTAACAGTGCTTTCATGTTTTGAAGCAGAGTTTCTCCAGGAAGTCCCAGGACTCCACCTGCTGGTCGGGTGTGTATCGCCTCTGCATGTCTTTAATGGAGAGTCTTCTCAAAACTCTGCGCTACAACTTCATCAATGAAGCCCTGGACTTTGTTGGAGTACATCAGGAACGCATATTACAGGTATTACTGTAAAAGTGAAAAGGTTGTCGTGACAGAAAATACTAAAACTCTCAAAGTTGGGTTTTTGTAAAACTCCTGATTGGCTCATTAAATCAAACAGTGTTTTTCTTACCTTTATTCCTTAAAACAATAATGTCTGATTACAAGTCACTGCATGATGAAAAGATTAGGTTTGTCAGTCATTTGAACCCCCTGGAGTCCCTGGATGTGCCAACATGTTCTAGTCACGCCTGATTTAAATCACTTTTAACTGTAAAGATACGCCTTCTCTCAGACTGTTTCAATTTGAGTCAAAAATAGAGACTTCAAACTTTACACAACAGTTCTTAAATTGTGTTGATAGGCCATGTAAAACTGGAGTTATATTGAATAGTAAATGCCACATTTTTTTTCTGAAAATTACCAATTTGATAAGCGTTGCAGTGCAGGGGACAGGGAACACCATCTCATGGAAAAACACTGCAGTCAGTCAAAACCCGACCTCCTTTCTGAATGAGTCCCAAAATTATTAGCCAAGCAATAAAAAAACTCTACAGTAAGAATAATAATAAATAAATAAAAAGACCTGAAAGTTGAATGAAGTTCGGCTGCTATGGAGACAGAGAGAATTTAATTACATTTGAGAGATTTATGATCTTTTAGCGTGTTTGGATTTTATAAATAAACCAGTTGGATATCTGAGGATCTACACGAGCAGTTTGATATATATTTTTGCTCCTATCCTTTAATTTACCCACAGTTTAACTCTGAGTAGAAGTCGACAGCTTTATTTAACAGAATTCTTCGTTTCTTCTGTACTCAGTGTCTGAACGCTGTTCGCACCGTTCAGAGCCTCGCCTGTTTGGACGAGGCAGATCACACCGTTGGATTCCTCCTGCAGCTCTCCAGCTTCTGTAAAGAGTGGCAGTTCCACCTGCCTAATCTGCTCAGAGACGTGCAGGTAAGTCTGACAGCAAAATGTCAAAAAGCCAAATGAGTAAAACGGCAGGTTTTTTTTTAAATTTATTATGTTTCTCCTTCTCTGCTGAGCAGGTAAACCTGTGTTACCTGTGCCAGACCTGCACCTACCTGCTGCACAGTAAGAAGATGCTCCATCATTACCTACAGGTCAGAAAACTAGATTAAAGTAAAGGTGTTGATGTGAACAAATACTGTAGTATCATTATTATAAATGTGTTTTTAGGCCAAGAATGGTGAGGCGTTGCCTCCTGGTCCCCTCCCCAGGGCACAGCGGCCCCCCCAGTCCCTGACTAAAGATGCAGCAGGAGGGGGGGACAGAGAGGAGGCTGAGCAGAAGGCCCTGCTGACGGTGCAGTGCAGCCTTCTAAAGATCCTCAGTAAAACTCTGGCAACTCTGCAGCACTTCACTCCAGACTTCTGCCAGATCCTCCTGGACCAGGTCAGACTGCTCACCTCTCCTCTCCTCCTCATGTCTGTGATTTGTGTCAAATTATTTACAGGAACAAACCAGGGTAAATACTGTGTGTCTCTCTGCATGTGTCAGTGTATGGACCTGGCTGAGTACAGGACCCTGTTTGCACTCAGCTTCACAACTCCTGCGTTTGACCCTGATGTAGCCCCGTCGTTTGGGACCCTGCTGGCCACCATTAATGTGGCTCTGAGCATGCTGAGTGAGGTAAACCTTTAATAATATGTTTCTCATTCAGTAAAGCTACAGTATGAGATTATTTAATGTTTATTTACAGATTATTTATTCAGTCAGTCAAATTGTTCAGCTACAAATGTCAACAGTTTGACTGAAAAGGTACAGGCTTATTTATGCCTGTCCTACACATCCAGTTAAACTAAACTACCCCTCATAATCATTGCTATAAAAACACACATAAAGAAAACAATCCTTAACAAAACAAATACAGTAACAATTTGAAGTTGCTTTCACTTGTAATCCTCATATATATATATATATATATATATATATATATATATATATATATATATATATATATATATATGGAAACCCATAATGAACTACATTCTCGAAAGTCCATGCTTACATCATTCCATATTTTAATTCCTACAACAGAAAAATACTTTGTTTCTTTTTAGCTTGTCGTTTTATAAATTTAATAATACGTCACAGGTCATACTGAGATTCATATAATATAAAAAAATCTTTGCACCCCAACAGGCAACATACCTAATTTTGCTCTAAATATTATTTGCATTATTTTGTAATGAACCAAATCATAGAATTTCATGATAGCAGATGTAATAAACAGTGGATTTATGTTGTTAGATGGAGAAGAAGAAGGAGCCAGCGTCTCTAAGCATAGTTTCCCTGGCTTCATCAGAGGAGATCCAGGCTCTGAAGTGAGTCTTAACACCATGTTTGGAGTCATTGTGTTTTAAGAAGGTGCTAACTCTGAACCTCTTCTTCAGGTCGTTGCTGATGTTCACCATGGAGAACTGCTTCTATGTTCTGATCTCTCAGGCTGTTCGATGTCTCAAAGATTCCTCCATCCTCCCTCGAGACAAGCAGAGGCTGAAGCAGGAGCTCAGCTCTGAGCTGGTGAGATCTCACGCCTACTTTGACAAATATATTAGAGAAGTTACCTCTAGTCTAAGGAAATGTTACATTTTTAATTGTAAGTTAATAAGTGCTACAGTTTTTATTTTTTATGCAACCGTTTCAAAATTTAGTGCGGATAAATTTCAAATTGTCTCCATGTTTTCTTGTGTAGAGCACTCTTCTCTCCAGCCTGTCCCGCCACTTACGCAGAGGCTCTCCCTTATCTCCAGCCAGCGGGCTCCTCCCCCCTCTTCAGTCCAAACCCTCCACACCGGGCTCAAAGGCGAGCCACGAAGGCCAGGAGCCCATCATCCAGCTCGTCCAGGCTTTTGTCAGACTTGTGCAAAGATAACTAGTTAAAAACTGCACCGCCGATTTCACTAAAATACATTTTTTAAAACTATTTCTCCTGTAAAAAACCCTAATTTCATACCTTCATACCAGTAGTTCAAGTTAAACTGTTTTTTGAGTTTGTTGTAATAATAGCATATTGTAAAATATTAATGGGTGCCAAAATCTGAACACAGTTTAGCTAAAAGTCACCTGAAACAGAACCAAAGTGTTGATGAGAAGCTGCCTGAGGTGTTTACTCTCGATGAAGAGCTGAGATTTGACTCAGTCACTGACAGTGGTCCATTGTTCAAGACCTAGTTTTATAGGTTACACAACAGCTCGATGACCAGAAACATTTCAAGTGCTCCTTAAATATGTCAACTCTAAACAGTGGATCCTGTAAAGCTGTTACCATTTTCTATTTCGTTGTTTTCTCTATATCTTAACCTGAGTTCTTTTATTTTATTGAGTTCACATTCTGAAGTGATGGTTGAGATTTGTACTTTAGGATCAATTTTATGTCAATAAAGGGACTTTTGTACCACAGTAAAGGTTGTTTTTCTTTTTTATAAAAATGCTGCAGACTGCTGGATTCATCTTCATAAAAGACTTTACTGCATCAGAACATAATTTATCACAGCTCCATCTTATACAAAAGGTGAAAACAAAATTAAAAACTTGTATTATAAAATACATTTTCATAGTCTTATATGCATCACATAAAATAATAAATGAAAGTATTTAAATTGCATGGATTTCTATTTACAAAAGCATTTTCTTTAAAACAAACTTACAAGTTTAGTACCAAAACTAAAAACCCTGGATGTGCAATTAGGATACAAGAAAGGCTTTTTTTTTTTCTCTTTCATGGACAAAGTGACAATTCTACAGCAGAGCAGGATAACATTTAAAGGAGCAACATTATCTAAGGCAGGACTGAGTGTTAAACCTGAAGGTTTACTTGCAAAGATGCACAACTTCCTCCTGTTTGTAGAAGCTTCTACTCAGGCTGTGTGCAGGTAGTGTCTGCTACTGACCGTTGACTGGAACCTCCTGAAAACATAGACAGTGGGATTGTAACACCAGCATGCCAACATGTGGGCATAAGAAAAATAATTACAGGATACACCAACCAGTTTCAGACTCAGAATCCAGATGCATGCATGTGGCATATTCAATAAAAGCTTTGACATTTTGATCCATATGCTCAAGAACCATGATGAGAATAAACATTAGTCTGAAGCACTAAATCAACCTGTCATTTTAAATCTGACTAAATATAAATATTAGCTTTTTACTGTGAAAGATTAAAATAAAAAGTTCTGACCCTACAACTGTCAGGTATCTGATATCAATGAAGCCAGAGTATAATGATGCCAGGGTACAAACAGAATAAGTAAAAACATTAATTTTACGTAATGAAAAATAACTTGTATTTAACACCTTTGAGGGAAAAGGGCTAGCCATAGAATACTTTTTTGCTTCCTGTAACATTTTCTAATTACTATAGAGAAGTTACAAAACAAGCACAGTTGACAAAATGTCAAATCGTCTCTTGAAGTGAAAGTTTCCTCATGCATCACAAATCAGAAACAATGAGCTGAGATTTAATAAATCCAGTTCAAACTTGTCCTGGATTTTGTCCAGAAAAAATGTAAAACAGTATTTTTACATTTGCGCTTGTAGAGGTAACCCTGGTGAAAAAAAACTTTTCTATTGTTTATTTTCTTTGTCTTTGATTTTATTTTTTTTTTCACTTATAAGAAGAAAATCATTTTAAAGTGTTTTTATTTTCTTTAAGTGAATAGGACAAAGTCCTATATNCATATATCTAAAATAAATTACTTTATTTTGAGAAATCTGACAAGTTCTTTTCACATTCATGACCAGAGGGGAGGTTTCATTAACTCTGATTTCATTTCTGCAAGATCTTGTGGAACATGCTTTTGTGAGATTAAGCTGGTATTAATCTCATAAAGCAGGGTTCTTTACACGCTTCATGCAGGAGCTCAGGAAACTCATGCATCCACCCACTGCCAGCCTGCAACCCAATCACACTGACCTTCTCCTGGTCCTCCAGACAGGCCTTTCAGACCAAGGCTACAGTAATTTGTCTTGTTTTTTTGTTTTTTTTAATAAAGCAAGGGACATAAGAAAAAGAACAAGAATTCAGCACTGTGGACAAGAACATGACTGGTGGATTACACATCTGGGTGGACTTACCTCTAAATTCCCCCTGGCTTTCTTCAACACTCCGTGGGTCAAAGACACTGCAGAGGAGGGAAAATAATCCATTTATTATTCACATTGTTACACTTTAAGTCAGTTAACATAGACAAACTAATTGAATCATACGCTGGTCTATGATGACTTTCTCCATTCCCTCTTTGAGCAGGTTGGTGGTTCGCAGACGTTTAACGGCTCCGCTCAGCATCCTCTCCTGCTGGGACAGCCGGTTCTTCAGTCTGGTTATCTCGTTTTTCAGCAGCTCGTCCTAATTTGGAGTCGAACAGAAAAGCTTTAAGCTTTTAGGTATTAAATGAGGCAGTTTGTGTGGTTGGGTTTTTGTGCCTACCTGCTGGTTGCTGCCGCTGCACTCGTTGTGAGCGGCTGGCAGAGAGACTCTCCACAGCAGTTTGAGCAGGCGGCCAGCCTCCTCTAACACTTGCTGCATGGTGTTTGTGCTGCTGGATAAACTTGTCAGATGTTGCCTGTCTATCACCTGTAAATATGTACACACAACGACAGTAATGGTTGCACCTCATTAACACCATCGTGCAGCTTTAAATGAGGAGGGGTTTCAGCACCTCATGCTCAGAGCTCTGTTGTCGGAGGGTGAGCAAACACTCCTGCAGCTGAGAGTCCATGCTGCGGGACAGTTTACCACCCTCTGAGATCTGCTTGCGGAGGGCGTTGTAGTCCTCGATCAGGCCCAGAACGTGGCGCCCGTTGCGATTGGCCCACATCCGGTGGCCAGGGACGAGCCGAGAGGGAGCAGCTGAGGCGCTGTCACAAGAGCTGCTGCGCACCGAGTCACCGTCCACCTCCGAATGTGTGCAGCGCTCCACACCTGAGGACAAAGCACAGCAAGATGCTTTCAGACAATCGTACAAGGATATAATGAGGCGCCGTATCAAAGCTGAGCAGGTTGTCTCACCGTGGAGGACGCTTGCATGCACGTGGTGACTCTGGAACGAGTGGCGTAGAGGATCGCCGCCTTCACGACCCGGTGACCTGCCTCCTTCATCTGGGATAAATGTAAACAATCAGCAGGGATACTTGTGCATTAAAGGTCTTGGCTTTGCCTCGTGTTTACCTGGAGAGGACAGCAGGTAGTTGATGTTGATCGTCTCCGAGCGGTTGGGTCCTCGGAGCAGCTGCTCCTCCAGTTTTTGCCGCAGAGCTGTGTTGGTCTGGATGCTCCTCTCCAGCTGCAGCCTCAGGTGTCTGATCTCTGACAGCAGCTCGCTGAGGTCCACGGAGCCGGAGGAAGGCGAGGGGACAGGCTGCTGGCTCGTTTCAGTAGAGCCTAAACAGAGAAACAAAGTCAAAATCTTTTCAGAAGGGTTTCAGAAAACCAGAACAAGAAGAAACATTATAGAGACAAATTACAGATGAGGATATATAAACCGAAGGCCGCAAAATGTTATGAACATATTTTCAGTTGGTCTTTTTTTTAATCCCACTTTAAGATGACAGACATCTTGTGGTAAACAAACAAGCAAATAATATACAATGTTTGTACCATTTATGACACAAACGATGGAAACTTGTGGCCATTCAAGTGTACACTTCACAGTTTTCAATGCACTTCTCAATGCACCAATAGTCTCACTCTACTGGATAAAGTATGTACATTTTACAAATTAGTACGTGCAGTAAAGACCTGGTAGTGATGACCGTATATGATTGGAGATTTTCAAAGTAAAGTAGACAAAAAAAAAAATCCAAATTATAGTGTTTTTTTTTCCAACAGAATATTTATGAGGGACAACAGCAGACCTGTGAACGAGCTGTGGCTGCTGCTTCAGTGAAAACTGATCACAGCAGATCGACACACTGAGAACCTTCATGTATATAAAGCAGATCCTCTAAAGAAGGCAGGCTGTTGGTCACTGGGTACATTTTAAAAGACCACAAGTGTTTTTAAGTTTAGGTTACTGGATTTTTTTCTAACCAATAAGAACTCTGCTTGTTAAATATTTTAGGATTTCAAAAAAAAAAAAAAAAAAAACTTAAATAACCAAGCCTTACTATTATTAACGTTTGACTCATTCTTCATCTTTTCATAAACCTGCAGCTCCACTCGCAGTGACTGGAGCAGATGGTGGGAGTCAGAAAGCTGCTGCCTCTGGAGCTTCACCTCACCCTGCAACCTGAAAACATCCCAAAGCAGAAAAAAATAATAAATCTAATTTTAGATAAAAATATATATAAAAAAACTTTCGTTTTTCTGCAACCTGGACTTCTAAGTCTGAACTACATAAAAGTGAAAAGACCCCACACTTAACCCTTTTTCCTCTCTCTCTCTCTCTCTCTCTCT